GTGACATCCACCTGGCGGGCGGTTGTGCGAATTTATGAGTTGAAATTGCTTAACGTGCCGCGTACCGAGTTGGAATCAATAAATGGTGGCTCTCACTGCTATAGGGGAACTTGGACCATTTATATGACTCTTCCTAAATTATCTTTCTCTCTCTCTCTCTCTCTCTCTCTCTCTCTCCCTCTCCCTCTCCCTCTCCATCTCCATCTCCATCTCCATCTCCATCTCTATCTCTATCTCTATCTCTATCTTTGTGACTGTATCTCTATACTAGAGGCCCAGTGCATGAAATTCGTGTGCGGGTACAGTCCCTAGGCCTGGCCTGTGATCAGGGTCATCTTCCCCAGCTGCCCACAGCTGGCCCCACCCCCCGCTGCCACCCACCCCTGATTCCCCTTTCGCCATCGGGTGATCGGTGCCTGACAGCCGGGGGAAGGGACTGAGAGGTCAGCTGTTCCCGCCTGCTCACAGGCCCCGCCCCCGCCGCAGGTTGCCCACTGTGTGTGGGGCGATCAGCGGGGTGGGGGCCTTGGTCTGACGCTGCCCGCATCCCCCGCCACCGACCCCCGTTCCCCACTTGTCATCAGGCGATCAGAGCCTGCCGGCTGGGGAAAGGGACCCAGAGGTGGTCAGGGTACCTCAGTAGTGACTGGTCCAGCAGTCGTTCTGGTCGTTCCGCCTTTAGGCTCAATTTGCATATTACCCTTTTATTACATAGGAATAGAGGCCTGGTGCATGGGTGGGGACTGGCTGGCCTGCCCTGATGGGGGCCCCATATCCGGGTGGGGGGGTCTCCACTTGAGGGCGAGGCGGCCTGGGCGAGGGGCCACGGTGTCCTGGTCTTCAGTCATTCTGGTTGTGACGGCATTAAGGTCGCTAGCTTTTTATATATGTAGATCTTTATCTCTATCTCTCTATCTCTATCTCTATATCCATCTATATACATATACATATGATATGTTTACATTATTGCTATGATGTTTTCTACTTGTCCCATGATTTCTCTATTCCCTTCTTTTTCTACTTCTGCTTTTTATCTTAACTGAGTGTTTCTTGTTTCCATTTCACCCCAGTTATGGACTCATCAGCTTGGCCTCCTCTTCTGTGATCTGAGTGAGGGCTTAGGGCAGAGACTCTCCACCTCAGCACCAACGCCGTCCTGAGCCAGATCAATCCTTGCTGGGGGCCCGTGCCTTGAGGGACATTTAGCCGCATCCCTGAGCTCTGCCCACTGGGTGCCCGCAGCACCGCACGGGCTCTCCTGCCACCCCCACCCGCTGTGCCAGACAACGCAGCGAGGAGGCTCGCTCTGTCGAGGACCTCACAGGCCCGCAGGAGAAGAGGGCAAATGGCAAGCACGTTTTCATGAAAGCCTCCGAAACGAGACTTTACAGTTCACGGTGGCCAAGGCCAGGGACACACACTCCTGTAGAGCCACTGCCAGGAGGTTCCAGGGGACTTCGCGGCGGCGGGCCATGTCGGGGGTCCTGGGGCTGGTGGGCGGGTTTTATGCCACCGGGAGACTTCCACTTCCGGTTTCCTTCCGACGGCGCTCTGGGAGACATGGTCTACCTCGAAAGCTAACCGCTAATTACATCAGAGGATGGACGCATCGGTGCCTTGTCCTAAATGGAAATGTGCAATAACCTGCATCCGAACGTGGGCTCGCCGGGGCAGCCCCCGGGAGCAGCCCGAGCAGGCATGGGGCCGCATTTCTGCCCCCGCCGCCCCTGCTTGAGGAACTCGGGGCCTCTCCCACTGGACCCTGGGCTGCCATTTCTGTCTCGAGAGAATAGGCATTTCCAGGCACAGAGACGTGGGCCCAATCCCCCCCTGTGACATGGTCTTAGCAAGGCCTTCAGAATACTGGGCCGCAGAGGGTGGTGCATCCAGGGGCTCCTGCACCCCACAGGGGGAACCTCCAGCAGGCGGTGCCTTAGGACAAGGGGCCCAGGAGCTCATTGGCCTTGGGGTGCCTGTGGCTGCGAGAAGCAGAACTTCCCTGAGAGCGGCTTCCCCAGCCTGGCCGTCTGTCCGCTGGCACAGGGGGCGGGAGGCAGGGGCGCAGGCTCTGCCCAGTAGCTCCCGAGGACACCGAGGCCACCGAGGGATCTGCAAAGAGGCTCTTTTTCCCTAACAACCTCAGGAGCGTTTTTATCCCGGGAGAAGGTGGTGATGGGGGACGGCTGGTTAGGCAGCCAGCAGTGCTCTCTGTCTCCTAAGCCCCCAGAATGGAAGCTGGTGGGCAGAGCAGCCTAGAGACACTCAGCTGCCCTCACAGGAGGGACAGAGCATGAGGAGCAGGGAGGAGGGCGCCAGGGGACAAGAAGGTGAACCGGCGGGAGCTCCCGGACACTCCCGGAGGAGGGGCGCGTGGTTTAGCCACTTCAGAGAAGTTGGGCTGCATGTACTAGAGCTGGTCACTCCTCGGCTTCGTGACCAGGCAGCTGCCAGCTGGCCACGGACGCAAGGGAACTGCGTGCACGTGTCCGTAAAAGCACATGCACCGCCAGGCTTTCTTATCTTCAGTCCTGAAGCCACCCATCCTCCCTCGGAGGTGTCTACTGCCCCCACGGCTGGCGGCTCGGGTGCTCCTGTGGGGGCTGCGGGCACCACCTCATCTACATGGGGCTTCCTCCAGGGGTAGCAGCAACACAGACTTGCCACTTGCACACGGAAATGGCTCCGCTTTGCCATTTCTCACGGGACACACTTCTGGTTTTACACCCAAAGCTCTGGGGGGTGGGGGTGGAGGTGTGTCCATCATCCCTCCCCTCTTACCCAGGGGTTCTTTCTTTCGGGGCTTCAGCTTTCTGCAGATCCCAGTTCCCCTCCCATAGCTCTCCTGGCCCAGCGCGCACACCCTGTCCGCACACAGGCCCTGCAGTTCCACCCGGAGACCTCTGGGGGCTGGACCTGTACTAAACCCGCAGATCTGCGTTCCAGCTGGTGCACAGGTGCCGGCTCAGGGTCACTACAACTTCAACTTCACCTTCACCTTCACTCCCGGCACCTGGCTTATCAGCGTTTATATTCAGCCGTACACTTAGTAGGCATCTTCAGTGGTAACCTTTTCATATTCCAGATGCTACGGTGGGCTCAGGGCTGACAATGGGGAAGAAAAGGAGTCACGAGGCCTGGCTGTGTAGGATAACAGTTCCTGTAGGGAAAGCACATATTTGCCACAAGAGCACCCAGTCCAAGTGAAGTTGGAGTGTGACAAGTGCTGCTCAGAAGTACATGGGAGCCTCGACCTAGTCACAGGGAGCAGACGCGGGCTCCGCAGGAGAGAGCCCGTTTCCGACCAGGGGAAGGGCATGCGCGCTGTTAGCTGTCCTGGGAAGAAATGGTCCTGGGGCAGCTCAGGTGTCAGCGCCGTGAGTCATGCTGGAACAGGGAAGGTCCTCCTCCACTGTGTGTGGCCCCGGGAGGGCAGCCACGTCCCAGCGTCGCCTGGTGGAACGTGAGCTGAGTCCATGGAGGCAGGTCAGGGTCATTGCAGGGACAGCCAGTCTTGACGCTGTATGTCCCAGCGTCGCCTGGTGGAACGTGAGCTGAGCCCATGGGCGTGGAGGCAGATCAGGGTCATTGCAGGGACAGCCAGTCTTGACGCTGTAAATATATGAACGGACGTGCGTCCTGGATCGGAGCATGGTCACATTACATCGTGGCAGCGAAGAGTTATCCCCTAGCTCAGTGGTCGGCAAACACATTAGTCAATAGAGCCAAATATCAACAGTACTTCTTCATACTAGACTCGCCCAGGCCGAAAACCGACTTCTGCACATGGGCCATGAAGTTTCAATTGCACTGTGTGTGCGCACCCGCACGTGGTATTTTGTGGAAGAGCCACACTCAAGGGGCCAAAGAGCCGCATGTGGCTCGCGAGCCGCAGTTTGCCGACCACAGCCCTAGCTCTTCTTCCTTCCTGGTAAATTCTCTGAGCTTCTGGTAAATTCCCATTATTAGCTGCAGGCTGGGATTCGCTGAGCTGGGGATTGAGGATCCAGACTTTCATGTCTTTGGGATGGGAAGCCAAGTGGAAAGTGTCCCCTACCCCCAGGGCCAGAGTAGTGGTGGCCTTGGTGACCCCACAGGCGGAGACTCCTGGGGTCAGTCTCTGGGGAAGCTTGCTGGTAGATGCACAGCCCAGCAGCCTTGAAGGAGAGGGGGGTGGCCACTTCTGAGCCCACACGGGATGCAAACAGGAAAACAGCTGCGAGTGATATCAAGAAAAGAACCTTCCAGAAATCCAACCCGGAGCAGACTGATGCATGCTAATTGAGCCCATGAAGTAACAGTGATTTCACGCAATAGTCACGGGCAGGTAAGGCTAGACCCTGTGTCGTAAATGCCATCCTTTGTAACAATGGAGGCTGGCCCACTGAGGCCCTGCAGGTGTGGCGGCAGGTGGCCGTCTGGTCTGGATGTTGGACTCACTCGCCGGATGCTGGGGTTAGCCAGAGGAATTTTAGTCCCTTGTCCACCCGGAGAGTAAAATTAATCGAGGCAGAAGCAAAAGTGTGTGGAACCAATTTATTGAACGTCTGCTGACGGTCAGCAATGTGCTAAGGCATTTACCTCACCTCAAGGAAACAAGCGAAGCAGCCACTCTCACCCCCATGTTACAGAAGAGGAAACGGAAGCTCAGATTTCAAGAGTCTTTTTCAAGATCAGCCAGTGGAAGTGGCCAACGGGTACTCAATTGTAGATGCTTCCCTTCCAAAGAGTTCTTTTTCCCTCCAGTTTTTATTTATTTATTTATTTCAAGAAAAAACGATTTTAAATATAATAATGTTACATGCAGTAAACCTTAATATTTCAAGAAAAATGACCTTAAATATAATAATGTTACATGCAATAAACACCAATTATTCAAGAGAAATGATTTTACATATAATAATACTAGAGGCCAGTGCACGAAATTTGTGCACAGGTGGGGTCCCTAGCGGCTGCCGGCCAGGGCCTCCCTTCTCCCAGCTGCCTGCCGCCACTGGAAGGAGCAGGGCCGGCTGGGGAGAGGGGCCACGGCGGTTGGCCAGCCCCGTCCCCTGGACAAACTCCTGGTTGAGGGGACAATTTGCATATTAGGCTTTTATTAGATAGGATTACATGCAATAAACATTAACATTTCAAGAATATCCAAAGATTCTTGAGTTTGCAGGAAAGTAGTGGAAATATTTGGTAAAGGGATCACTGGATTCATTCATTTTCTTCTTCAAGAAGCTATGGTCTTGCTAGAATTAGTCCCTGGAAATGCCAGTGGGAGAGAGCATCGGGCACAGAGGGGATCAGCTGGTCCTTGAAGTGGCCTCTAACTGGAGACTGTTTAGTGGCTTCTTCAAGCAGCTGTTACTGCTGGGGAGCACTGCGAAGAAGTAGCCAGGACTGTTGGCACCGCCACAGAAGCACCAGCTGACTCGGAAACTCCACTCTGAGGAGGAGAACAGTGCATTGCTCAGAGTTAAAAGGAGTCCAAGACTGATGGTCCCTCCCTCTCGAGTCCCACAGACACACATGACTTCTGTCCACCCCAGAGACCTTTCCCCAGGAAAGAAGTGGACTGTGTCCCCAAGAGCTCACGTCTGAGCAGCTCTGGCCCTGGAGGCCCTCTGGGGGGAAGGTGATCCTATCGGACCCTGGCTCATTCCAGACTCTCCCTGACAACCCACAGGACTTTTCAGGATCTGCCTTCAGAGCTGAGCTCAGAGGTAAAGGACTGCATATGCTCAGAGCCAGCCAGGCCTCCCTCACAGGTCCTCCTTCTGACCCTTCATTCTGCACACGAGGAAGGCCCGGAGAGGGCAGTGACCTGTCCAAAGCCCTCAGTGGACTGGAAGCTGGTTTGGGATTTGAGCTTAGGTGTCTGCTATTCACAGGCAGCTCAGTATTCGGAAGGGACCAGGCAGCTGAGAGCACAGAGGGCGGGGCGGTGCTGCTGCGGAACTAGGGACGAGAGGACCCTAGTGCATCCTGGTGGCAGGCGGCCTCGGGGCCAGGGAAGCTATGCTGATGAGCTCAGAAACCATGTTCTCCTCTGAGCCTGGGCTCCTCCTCTGTAGACTGGGACAAGAAATGCTGCCTGATTGGCCACAGGCCTGTGGGAGGAGCAACTGCTAGTCAGAGTGGCTCACATCTGAGCAGAGCTTCCCCTTGCCCTGGCACTTTCCCAGTCATGTAATGCTCACAGGAAACCTTGACGTGGACGGGATAGAGGTACGTGGCCGATTCTGGATAGAAAACCGAGTCCAGGCAGGAAAGTGATCCTGTAGTGCAGCGGTTCTCAACCTTCCTCATGCCGCGACCCTTTCATACAGTTCCTCATGTTGTGGTGACCCCCAACCATAAAATTATTTTCGTTGCTACTTCATCACTGTAATTTTGCTACTGTTAGGAATCGTCATGTAAATATCTGATATGCAGGGTGTATTTTCATTGTTTGTGACTCACAGGCTGAGAACTGCTGCTGTAGCAGGTCTCCTGGCTGGTGGGGCGGGGGGGGTGGGGTAGTGCCAGAATCTACAGCCCGTTTTCCTGGCCTGCAGGGCAAGGAGGCCTCCCCGGGTTGCACTGGTGACCCTTCGCAAAAGGTTTCCCCACTGACAAGGGCTCTTCAAAGAGCAGAAAGCAGTCCGACTCAGTGGACAAAACACTGGTTTTGGTGTCAAAGCAATTGGTTCACACTCTGAAGTGTGCACGTAGCTTTGGGGCCTGGGGCTGGTTAAGTGCTTGGTCCCTGATATTTACCAAGAGCCGCCCCTCATCCTCCTGTCAAGGGAACCCCAAATGGAATCACCCCACAGGGCTCTTACCTGTAGGCTCCAGGGCGGCCATTTCTCAGTTTAGCGACTAAGTGCTCACAGTTGGGAAATAAAAATAGTCATTCCAGGTTTCACCAATTTTCTTCTCCGCCAAATTGACAATGTCATGCACAGGCCGGGGCCTGTACTTGTTATCCAAGAAGTTGTTGACCTTGTACGTGTTATCCCCTGCCACTTCTTTCAGAGGTTCACATTTCACCATGTCTTGTAGTACTGCATAGCCATGTTCAAGGTCGGAAGAGCTAGACCCGGAGGACACACCTGGGATCACAGAGAGACTAAGCTGCTGCCATGCTCAGCAGTGCCATGTTGGACAAGGAGGGGAAGAAGAAAGGACGCCCCACTATTGACATCTGAGGTCACTGTCCCTTCCTTCTACTATCATTCCCTATTGTTAAAAGTTAAATTTAGTAGGAGTGCAATTGTTTCATCCACACTTTTGTAACTTAACTACTTAAGGCTCTGTTGCCCCCATGTTCCCACAACAAATGGCAACTCCATCATAACTTAGAATGGGTGCCATGGGATTCCACTGATGTCAGACTTTGATGCATTTAACAAATCTCCAATTGTTGGGTATTTCAGTTGTTTAAACTTGTCTTTGACGATACACAATGATATCATAACAATACTTGCAGATGACGCATCTTTGGGCATGGGTCTGACTCAGACACATTTTTGAGTTTTTTAGAATCTACCTGGAAGAAGCCAGTCTCAGCTGATTCTCTTACAACCCCTCCCAGGTGATAACTTGTCTCCATTTCACAGAACCAATTTTGAGCCACAGAACTTAAGAGACAAAAGTTGTGGAGCAAGGATTTGAAAGAACTCCAAAGGCCTAGCGATTTCTACTATTGTGTAGAAACTGTGGGCTCCATGGCAAGAGGGAACTTCTCATCATTTTCTTACGTCCTATCACCTGGCTTAGTTCTGGACACTTAGGAGAGAGTCACAACAGAATTGTCAACTGATGGAGTCCACATTCCATTCCTTAGCGAGTAAAGATCTGACATGTCATAGTTGAAAAGGAAAAGGATGCTATTACCACAGCAGTGAGTTCTCTTTTGTTCCCTTTTCTCAAAATAAAGCTGGTGATTAAACAAATAATTCATCTTTACCTGATTTCACATGAATCACAAAACCGTCTCCCACATAGATTGCCCAGTGCTTGTAAACATCTCCAATTTGAATCAGGTCTCCAGGTATTGGGTCCTCGCTTGACTACAACAGAAAAGCAGAGAGAGTGTAGACAGATGGTAGGAAGTAGCAGAGGCCTGGCTGGAGAGCTGCAGACTGCTCCCTGCCACACAACACCTAGTAGCAACCCCGGGAGAGGAGCCTCTGGGACTGCTGGGGTCACCAGCTTTGCTGTCACTCAGAGAAGCCCGGTTGGGGCAGGAGGGACAGGAAGCCTGGACACAGTCGGGCTGAAGCCTTTCCTCTGGGGGCCCTAGCACTTTGTCCCACCCCATTGCTCCCGCCCCATTGCTCCCACCCCATTGCTGGGCATTAGCGTGGCTCTCATCTTCTGCTCTGACACTTCCACATCCTGAGTCTCACTGCAGCTGACAGACTGCCCCCCCCGCCCCCCCCAGGGCTAGCCAGTTCCTGAAGATCAGCTCACAGCAGCCCCTTAAACGTTCTCTTCAATGCAAACAAACCAATCCAGAGCTCACTGCAGGCCACTAACCACCTACCCCAATGCCCCCAGGTCCAGGTACAAGTCAACTAGAGACAGTGCCTCTGCCCCAGAGCCTGCAGAAAGCATTCTACCAGCAAGTCCTAAGCCTGCTCACCCGCCCCAGTCCCTCTTCCCACAGACACCACCGGCCAGGCTCTTGCCCTTAGCTCTGTCCAGCTCTTCACCCTCGTCCCTCTCACCCTCATCCCTCTTCACCTCCCTGTCTCCCTCCCCACTTTCTCTGCCTCCTCCCCATCCCAGTGCCCCCTCACGTGGCCCTGAGTGGCAGCCATGCCCCTCCTCTTGGGAGCTGGGAGTCACAGCTGTCTCCTCCTCTGCAATCCTCTCCTGACCGGTTGCCTGACTCAACCTCCACGAGTCTATCAGACGCAGGTGTTAGAGCAGGCTGTCCATAGCGGTGCTGAGTAGCCTCCTCCTCAGACTCTGTCCCAACCTCTGGGCACTCATTCATGGAGACACAAACTGAAGGCTCCTCAGGGCCACACTGTGGGCACCTGTGCCAGGCACCCTCCCTGGTGGGACAGCTGCCAGTGGGACATTTCCATCACAGGCACCCACTCAGCCAACAGCACCTCAGGCTAAAGGACCCAACGAATCCACACTCCCAGGTGTGGGCACGGGGACTGGTGAGGGTGAGGGACGTACCCCAGATGGCTCAGCCAGACAGCAGTCTGCCCTTCCCGCTCCCACACCCGCCCCCAGTGGAGGCTGCTTTTCTCCACATTCACACGCCTTCCCAGGGAATGAGTGTCCACCCCACAGGGCATCCAGTCCCCATGGAACAAAGCCTGCTCGTCCCTCTGCTCGTTCTGTGCCCTTCCTTCTGGCGTCACTCAGCCCAGCTTGCTAATCAGAGGCCTAGTCATCCCTCACTCCTCCTTCTCCCTCAGCCCCATGTCCAATTACCAAGTGCCTTCAAGGCCACCTTCCTCCATCCCCCTCCCTCTAACATGGGTTTCATTCCACTCACTCCTTACCCACCCGTGTTGTCCAGTGGGACCTTCACAGGGAACATTGGGCAATGACCTACCTAGACCCTCAGAATGCTGTCCACACCCTTTAGGCAGCTCATGGTCCAGCTCTCACCCGCATCCCTCTTCACCTTCCTGTCTCCCTCCTCTCTCTCACCCTCCTCCCTGTCTCTCTCTTCCCTCTTCACCCTCATCCCTCCTCACCCTCATCCTCTCACCCTCATCCCTCTCACCTTCATCCCTCTCACCCTCATCCCTCCTCACCCTCATCCCTCTCACCCTCATCCCTCATCTCCTCTCTCTGTACTGCTCTTCCTGAGCTACCTGTGCTTCCCCACCTCATGCTCTCTCTCCTGCTCCTTTGACGCCATGTTCGCTCTCCCTCCTACACCCTCCGTGCCCTCCCCGTGTGACACACACTCTCCTCCCAGCAGACAGTCTCTCCTCTGGGCACCTCACTGCCCCAGGCTGGACCAGCTGCCCCTCCTCTCTGTGCACAGATGGCTTTGATACAACTTTCTGTGCCTCTCTGCCAGCGCCTCTGGTTTGGGATCTA